AGTGCTTTCTGTTTTTTTTTGGCATCCGTAGTTGCAGTAGGGAATAGATATGTGACCTTGCATTAACTTTAGAAATCATCTTTCGTTATCAATCATATTCAATCTAAATCATAAAGAATCTTACCGAGAAGTTTAGTCTAGATTCTAATCAAGTCATATACCTCAGAGATAATTTATGGAATCCATAAAAAACTGTGAAAAGGACAAAACATTTATTGGATTTTGAGGGATGAAAATACAAAAGTATGATCTTTTCGACTTAGTCTAACGGGAAATTTAACTATTTAACTATACTTAAGCTGAGTGAAAGGTATGATTTAAATGATTGCTATTATGTCTTTGTCTTTCAGGTATTCATCATAGTTTCTTGTCAACACTTTTTCCCAATAGGATCTAACCTCTGGATGCAATCAAATTATTGACATTATGAAATGGCGGATGATGATAAATTTCAATTGTCATATAGTAGAGTGAATCTATGACATAATTCATAATTTAGATGGATCATTAATTTTCGTTTGTGGTCATTCGAACACGAATTCTAGGTAGTTTGTGTGCCTGTGTGTAAGTTTGCGTATGCATGTGCATATGTGTGTCAGTGTACACACATGCACACGTCTATGTGCATCTACGTGTATCTGTATTTGCTTGTCAGCTTGTGTCTGAATGTCTTATTCACACTAGTAAATAGGAAAACAAGCATGTCAAGGAGGAAATTTTCATCCTATATCTTTGTAGTTTCACACTGTTCAATGTAGCTTCCGTAATTTGTCTTTGTAGATTCACACTGTTTAAGGTAGCTTCTCTAATTTAAGACATGTACAGCTGAGTAGGTTCTTTGTACTTGCATTAAGATTTTTATTTGAAGGCGGCGCCCAATAGATTCTTTACACTTGTATTAAAAGAATTCCTAAAAAGCGATCCTAGCAAACAAAATGTTAATCTTAGGGTTAAACTTCTGATATAGAAAGTATAAATACTTTCCATTTTTATTTATTTATTGAAGTACACGATCCTGTAATACTTTGTCTATTTTTCATGACATTCTCTTTATTTTCATTTTTTTTTGGTGTATAATACACATCCCTTATTAACCTCTTATTGTTTGTTGCCACTTTGGATTGATTGAAATGCTTCCTAGCTTATGAAATCCTATCAGTTAGTTATTCCATGAGGAGCATGTATTTACTATATGAGATAAGATTCATAAGAACGTGGGTAAGTTATGGGATTTGGGCAATCTAGTCTAATAGAAAGGAAGCTCATGAATCTGAATGGCGAGGGTCGGTGTTTCAGAAGCTTTCGACCAGAAAGGTTTCTGATGTTGCCCATGTCGGCCCTCCTGGTCTCTAGTTTAAAGACATTCAAATGATACAAATTAACTTTACCTGGGAAAATCTTCCTTATGAACTGCCAAGCACACAAATATAGCCTAGAGCCTTTGCTGTCATGAGTCTTGATTCAGAAAATTTGATTTTTGAACGTCTTGTAAGATCAGTTCAATAGTTTCATTGGTTTTCTAATTTCAGTTCCGGTAGTTATAGAATTAAAAATAATATCAGATTGTGCTACGGGTTAGGTTTTTCCATTATGACCTGCTACAAACATGATTGTGAATCTTATCCTCATGTACCCCCCATCATTTCTTTGTCTACTCTACTGCAATTATCTGGTTGTACTCTTCATTGCATAGGTTCAACCGTAATGAAAGACCAATAAATTTGGTTTTCTTATTCTGCCAACTAATCTTCTAGGTTTTATGGTAAATTTTCTCTTGCCTTGGGTTTTCTTGCCCAGGTCTTGGCACCAATAAGAGGGTTAACAACAGGTCCTTTGATATGTCGGCATTTGTAGATGGTGAATCGATAAATTTGGTTGCCATCAATTCAATTAATATGTCGACATTATTGGCAACCGGTCATAAAAATTGCTGATTTTTTCAGCTGAACCTTCTCAAGTTAACTTTTGGCCCCATGGATAGCCCCATTTTTTATGCGGAAAGATTCATGGAGATGGTGACTGATGCCCTTAGAGGAGAGGAGTGGTGGTTCATATTCCTTGGATAAGGTTTTTTCAGCTGTGTCATAAAATTTAGTTTTCTGGAGTGTGCATGTCAGGATCACAACATTTGGGAAAAACCAATGTGCATGTCAGCATCAACTTTTAGCTAAATCTAAACATACTTCAATTGCGAAAGAGACTTTTTCATGGGTTTTATGCGTCAAGCTAGGTGGAGATTCCAATCAAGTGGGAATGGAGGTGGGTCTTATACAGAGTCTTTTCAGTTGTTTTAACTTTTTTTTGCCTCGCATACACACGTTGAGATCTGCTACTAAATGGAAGGTTATTATTAGAATCTGATAGCTACTATTTCTCAACAAACTGTGATTTTTTTTAGGAAATGGTTTAGTGTGTGAAGTTGAATGGTATTCGTTAGCGACAGGTGAGGTGTCCAATGCAAAGAGTGAAATATCTGCCTGAACTTTGACGCATTTTTTTAATAATGTGTTTTGGTTTTTTTTCCCCCCACCTTCTGTCGAAAAAGCGAAAACATAATCACTGCTCCCTGTATTTTTAGTAACCTTCTCCAGTAAGGTAAGCAAAAATTAGATAATCCAAGGAACTCATCAGCTATTACTGCTGCAAGCATATACAGTGGATGACTATTGTTGGGAGATATCCGAGATGTCCCACTTTCTATGTTATTTCTTCAAGATAATGAGTTTTTTACATCTTGTATACATCTGGCTCTATCACAGTTATCTACAAGAAGCGTCAACTGAAGACGATGCTCAGCAGCTCTCCTAACATCTCGATTGTTAAAGTAGCAACTTCGGTAGATCCGAAGAAAGATTTTCCCTTTCAGCAAGTTCGAAAATCTCCTTCGATCTATGCGTTAGCTTGTTAAATATGTTTCTCGTTATCCTCTTCTTGAATTTGGAACTTTTCGTCCATGTCACTCCCAGAAAAGCATCACATCGAGATGCCATGGCGTTTGAGAGGAAGGTCTCGATCAATATATACTTTAAACTGACCTGTATCATCATCATCATCAGAAACAGCATCATCAGAAACAGAAGAGCAACAAATATAGAATTTAGGAAACACATAATTTGCTAGTTAAGGCTAACAAAAGAAAATATAAAATTTAGGAAACACAAAATTTAAGAAACAGAATTTTTTTTTGTAGGAACCGCAATCACTCACATGGAAATGATCCCCAAAAGGAACATTGTGAAGAGTCATAACTTCATCCACTGCCCACCCGTTGTGATCTAAACTAGGAGCTTTATGTTGTATGCTACTCACTTCACCTCCAAAAATCGATATATGGCGATTAAATTTGTAGCTAATTTGTCTCCTGTAGACATGATCAGGCCCAACTGCCTCCCATGGCGTTGTTGAATAGTTAAGGCATCCAACTTTCTCCATTATTTTCTTTTCGAGTAGCCCCCCTCCAAAGACTTCCACCAGTGATTCAACCTATGAAACAAGAAAAATGAGATTTCATTACACAATATTTTCAAAAATGTGATTTCATTACACAATATTTCCTTTTTGGAACACAGTCAACTCATTTTGATTCCTTACGCTGACAGAAAGCTCTACTGATAAAGCCTTCGAAAGCCTAGTCCCATCTGAGCCTAGTATGTACTCGCTGTCCTCAAATCGACCGGAACTTCCACTTTGATCATCATCCAGTTTACCAATCTTGCCGGATTTTTCACCGTGACCACATTTATCCTCTTCAAGCTTAGCACTCTGTTCACCATTTAGGCATTTGTTTCTCCACAAGGCTATGATTGTCTTGCTTGCACTGTTAAATGACGCAAATGATTGGAACTGGAATTTGAGCCTTCCTTCTTTATCTTCAGACTTCGCCCCATGCTTAGCGTCACGGCCATGGCCACTCTTCAAAATGATTAACAGGGCTGGAGTACCGACAGTAGAGAAGGATGGGGACAACTCTTGAATGTCTTCAATGTCCTCCCAAAGAAAGAAAAAGTTGGTTTTATGACCAAAAATGTTGCCATGGAATCCTATGATTCTTGCAGATAAAAAGAGCCTACCCTGCACAAACGAAAGACTGGGTCATCCTAATCCTGCTCCTCCTCTGGAAAAAAATTGGTTCGATGATAGTAATCGTCTGTTTTAAGTGCTAGAAATGTCTTGCATCTATTCAGTTCATATGTGGGTTTTGTCAGGCGAAAAGATATCCCACATTGGAAAACAGTCAGATGAATATATGATTAAATATGCTTAAACTGATAATTCAGAGAGAATTAATCCTTTTTAATCCAGTTTGGGTCCAAGTAGATTAGCTTACCTGCAACGGCAATCTTCTCTTCAAATAGCATGCGAAATCATTGATAAGAAACTCCTCAGGTGGCAAATTAAAGAGCTTTTGGAATGTTGAGTTTCTGTGAGGTGACTGTAGGTTCAGCTGGTAAGAATGAATTGCTAGTGATCAATAAAACTGAAGGAAAATTAGCGCACAAGAACAACTTTGGAAAGAGAAAACGGCTTACCTTCTTTCCTACTTCCTTCTCCATCTTGGTTAAGTACTCTTTGACTGCCTCGGATCCTTTAGTGTTATCCAGGAAAACTCTCAAGTGCAGTTGGCTATGAGATGCTTGAGCCAGTTTCCCATCAAGAGATACCCAAATGTCAGCCAACTCTGAAGCAGTATGCCTTACGAAATTGATCTCTGCGTGCCCAAGAGAGACTTCTTGATCAAATGGACCATCAAAGTCGAAAACATCCACAGTCAAAACTGATGGTGGTCCTTGCATGGCATCAAACTCCAATATGTCATTCCATTGAGGATCTTGTGTTTGAAGTTGGACAGAACTCGTTCTCGTCTGACCACCACAACCAAAAACTACATATGGATCTAAAATTCCAGATGACGATATCACCGGTAAATTACTCCCTTCTATCAAGGCCACTGTGAGCACCCACCCATCACCTTGTGCTTTGATTCCATGATCACTACCTATTTACACAAAATTTGCAAATTAAAAATGCAAAATATAGATGATTTATGGTATACCTTTGTAGGATTTACCTCTCCGTAATCTGGCCTTCACAAAGTGAGAGATCAAATAAAAAACTCGTTCTGCTTGAAGAACCAAAACAGCACAGGTGATGAGCTCTCCGAAAGAGTCAGGCAGATCTAGACCACCGAATTCCAATCCCTTCATTGGTCCAGGGACCGATAAGAGAATGTGTATAAAAACGTAAAGCCCCATGAAAAGGGTAGAAATGACAGTGAAGTTGCACAAATACTCGAGGGCCAGTTCCCAATCTGATTGGTGTTCTCCATGCATTGGTGCCAACAGCTGTTCTTTGTTCAGAATTAGCTCTTCTGCATTTGCTGGTTTCACAAACTGCGCCAATATGTCCGCAAAAGTTTCATAGCTCTCCTTGATACCTTGCCGCGCACTTCCCTCTATAACACTTTTCATCATAGTACTCTGGCTAAAATTAACATTCCATGATATTACAAGACGGGACGATTGGGATTCTTCGCTTGCAGATAACTGTGGTGTAGGCATTATCTTGTAGAGCATATCGACCTGAAAACAACTACCATAAGGTACATCGGGTGTGCTCACATGGATCAAGACTGCAAAGTTCTTCCCATCCGCTGTAAGATAAATCTGCTCTTCTGTTGCTTTGACGGCTTTTACAAGCTTTGTTGCAGCTCTTGTGTAAGTCACGGATCTTGTTAGGCATGAAGAGTATGCATCTTTCCATGTCCATGCTCCCTCCTTGTAGTCTGTAGTCCCTTGCTTTTCTACTAAAGCTCTTATAAATTGTGAGTTAGGTTCAAATAGAAGCGTGTTCAGATCTTTTGGTTCGATCACATATGTCTGATCGAGTAGGATTCCACCTTGAAGATCTCCTGGCATTTGATTGGTTCCACTCTTTGATTGCATCACTCCAATAGCTTCTTCAAAACTGGATGTCGAGTAAGTTTCTACTTCTTTGCTCTCGTCAGTCGCACGTGTGTTATCAGATAGTTCTAACGAACCATGATGTTTTGAACCAAACGTCGAGGTTACTCCATCCATGTTTGTAATGGGAGAACATATATTTGAAGGTGAAGCAGCTGGTTCAAAATTATCATCACTTCTTCCTCGCAACACGGCAAGGAGAATTTTCCCTGAATGTTCCAACACGTACGTAGTCTATCAGAAATTATAAATATCGCTTGAAATTACACTACATGAGTTGTAGGGAGTTTGCTGCAAAAGATTATATATACAGAACCCTTAGCCTCAAAGTAACGCTAAAATCCCACCCTTTATAACCACAGCTGCAGCATGAGAATCAGCACACGACTCATGTAAAGTAAAAGAGTAAATTTCATAAAACAATTTTCATAAGGAAAAAGTTACTCCTGCAACGAAAATCAAAGCTGCGGTGATTATAGTTTTATGCTCTAATGGCACAAATCTGGGCATATCCATAATTAAGCTGAAATCTGGACTCATGCTGTATATGTTGGGGGTCAAAGGTGTCACACGAATCCTACAAACTTATTACAGCGATCAAAAAACAACGCGCATGCATAAGACGCGCTCACACATACACACACACACAAAAAAAAAAAAAAAAAAAAAAAAAGAGAAACATACCGCGATCCTTGTTGGTCCTTGAAACATCATCCCCATCACATTGAAGAGGAAACCAAGAAGCAGGGACCCCCTCGTAGAGATTGGTAGGCAGAGGGACGTTCACAGCTCCGACAGCATCAACCTCCTCCTCCTCCCCCAACTCACTGCCTTCGCCCTGATCATAAAAAACCCCCACCCGCACACCGGCTTCACCATCGCCGCCCGCGTTAATCTCCTCATCCAATTCAAAAACGAACTCCTCTCTCCAAACAGGGTCAGTACCCCCCCTCACCGTCCTCGTCCTCGCCTCTCGACCCCGAAACCTCACCTTCGCGTAGACGTCGGGTAGCCCTGCGTCCTTCTTGGTCGGTGGAAGCCCCTTCGCTTCGTGAACATAAGCATGCAGCCTCCTCATGCTGGGCCTTGATTACTAATCTCAGCAGAGAGACGAATTAACCCGAAATTGTTGATGAATCCAGAGGGCAGAGATAAATAAAAATAAATGGGAATGGGTTGAGGGGGGTGGGCAACGGTGGAGGGAGGAGGGAGGTGACAGGAGCGGCACGGAAGAGGGCGAGACGGTGACAGCGAGTCAAAAATGTGGAGGAGTAACGTTGCCGGGTGGCCGTCGAGGCCACTACTGGCTCCCTTTACGCCTCTGACGGGCTCTGGCCCCTGTGCTCATCAAGCCCAACGAATTAAATCACTGGAGGCCCATTAGGCCCATTCTAATTATTGTTTCTTATACGTATGTATATAGGGAAACCCGGAAAGGTATGTTCTTTCTTAGTTAATGCTATGGCTACCTGTTTGTGTTGGTCCCATATTTTTGTGAAATTGATTGCGTTCTGGGAGCT